TTTAATCTGCGCTTAAAAGCTTCTGGAGACGGAGGGTCTACAACCTTTCTAGGTAAAATGTTCCAGTGCTTAAGTACCCTTATCATGAGAGAGTTCAAAGCGTAGCAGCTGCATTCTTTAAATGACTACTGAAGAAAGCTGTGCGCTGAAAATACAGAGGTCCTGGGGGAGGGAAGAATAAGTTGTGGCAGGCAGTCCATCTTTAATAAGGTGCACGATGGAGACAAAATAAGCTTATGAACTGTACTATAGACAAAAAGTAAAAGCTAAGATTTCAGATCTGTTGGGGTTTCACACTGTTAATTTTAAAGAAACTGAGTTATAAATGAATAGGGAATCCCCTTCTTCACTCTATGTAGTTTAGTGCAAGATGGATAGTTAATAAGATGAATATAGTATTGGGTTTGCTCAGTGTCTAAGGGCTCTAATAATGCAGATATAGCAGAGCCCTGTTTAGTGGATACTGTAGTGCCACTCCATGCCCACCCTCTCTGGCCATGTGTATGAGTCTCTACAGGTATTTGGTTGGTAGCATAAAAAGCCTTTTTGCCTTGTATACAAGTGTCCTGCAACAATACTAGATTGGAGAGTTTCTGTCTTGTGTTAGAGTCCCAGGAAGGGGTTAAAGTGGTATTAGCATTCATATAGATTGGTTGTCCGGTTGCCATATTGAAGTGTTTGAGTCCATTCCTGCAGTTGGATATTCAGAGCTTGATTCTTCATGATGATGCTAATAATCACATCACACCAATAACTAGTCTGAGTGTCTCTACTAGTTTCCAGATCAAGATCAGTGTAGAAAAATTCAAATGCTTGTGACTGTAACATATTTGTGGTTAGAGATGATAATCAACTAATGTTGCCCTGGCTTAAAGAAAAAGAAAAGGAAACTGGGGAAGGTGGGAGATTATTTGTTTTCACAAGAAGGTGGTAGAAATCTGTCCTGATACAGCACAGGTTAAGTTAGTCTTCAAGGCACTGTGCAGCTCCTGCTTGCTCTCTCAGATTGGGAAGGCTTGCTGGAGATGAGGGGACTTTGTAGGGGAAGCTAGTAGTGGGATATTTTGTGGATTTTTTCTCAAATGTGATTTTTTTTTTTTTTTAATTGTTAAAAGCAATTGGACTCGGTACCAGAAAGAAAAATCTAATAGCTCCTGGCTGTTTTGCTGAAAATTACCATTTTCGACCAGCTGTAATGGAAGCATAATAGCTCACGGGGAAAAAAAAACGTGCCAAACATTTTACTGCTTGTGCTACTTAGCCTTAATACATGAAAGGTTTAAGCATTGTTAAAGTGTGTTAGATTATTTAAACCAGGATGGAAACTGTTTTGTTTTTCAGCAAACTCCAATACTGCCTTTCTCAAACTGCCACTTTTCAGCAAGATGGCTGCCACTAGCAATACACTCAAATTCCGTTTTCAACATAAAACTGTATGAAGCAGAGTATTTTCCAGCTCCTTTGAGATGAGGTACATCTCCCGATATCGACTGATTTGCTTTGCTCACAATTACAGACTTTCTTTTAACCCTTTAAATGCTGGCACTTTTGAAACTGCCAACAAAAATGTTTTTGCATCTTTTGAAATAGAGAAAAATCTTTCGTATAAGTATAAAACAAAATATGCAACATCCTAGTAGATTAATAGGATGCTTTAAAATTGTGCTCTTACATAGACAGAATATGCTTTTTGTATAGAGGCAATATACTTAGAACTTTTTAAACTTTCAAAAGTGTTCTATTTAAAAAGTTAGCATTATATCAAAGCAGTTGTGAAAAAGATTTAAAAACTGGGTAACTAAAAATCTCAAAAACAAAAGAAATAGTAAATAGGGTATTAGCACTGAATGGAGTCACGTTTTTCAGAGATCAGTAAAATGGCTTGATGCTAGTCAACACTTTAATAAATAAATAAATTCACTTCTGATAAATTTGCATTTGACACTAAGGTCAGTAGAAATGTAAATGAAGATAAGGATGTAATTCAGAGCAGTCTGGATTGTTTGACAAGTTGTACTGTTCCAAGAAAATGTATTTTAAAACCAGATGCAATCTAACTGGAAAGGATTTTCTGGTCACTGGACAAGCAACTAAGCATGAGCTCCCAATATAGCTATTGCAATCCTAAGCTGTATAAGGAGGGTAGTACTAAGTAGGAGGATGATTTTTTTTTTCATTTCTAGGTAGAGCGTTTAGTGAGACTAACAGAAATACTACATCCAGTTTTGTTGTCCACATTTTTAAAAAGTCAAAAAAAAATGGAGATGGTGCAAAGAACCATACAATCTATTTGAGAACCAGGGAAAATATCTTAGGGATTTAAGAAGCTTAGTCTGTTTAGCTTATCAAAAATAAGACTGAAAGAACTTGGTTACTGCATACTAGCACTGGGAGAAAATGTTGGGTACTAGAGTGCTCTTGTACTCTAGAGACGAAGGCATAGCAAAAATCTGTAGCTGGAAGCTGAAGGTAGACAGACTCTTAATTGAAATAAAGCAGACTAGGGCTAGGTACAGATATTCAAAAAGCCTGAGGCAGAATCAGTCTAACTTTATGTGATTTTTCTGTAAGCAGTGTAGTTTAGACTGATAGCAAACAGAACACACATTCACCCTTTGGGGGGTGGATGGGATGGGACAGGGAGGGTGGAAATCTTAGATCGTGGTCCACCATTTTTAAAGCAGTCTGCATGCTGATCTTCTGTTCTGTTATGGTTATAGACTGGTTTCCACCTATAGCAGTAAAATTACTGACTGTAATGTCAGTCTGGCCAAAGAAAGTAGTGGATTTTCTTGATGTCTTCAATCCAAGAACTCTAGAATATATACTTTAAATACAACTTGAGTGGAATACAGGGGTAAAACTGGGTAGAATTGTATAGCCTCTGAGATATGAGTGGTAAAACTAGGTCACTTAATGGCTTCTTTCGGTCTTAAACTCAATGAATACATGAAAATTACAACCTTCCCTTTTTTTTTATCCATTCATTTTAAATTTCCGTAACTGGTGTTTTTGGACTTCAGTTTCTTGAAATTCCCTATTCAAACAATAGCCTCCTGATATCTGTTAATCATGTTGTACTTCATTTAGCTACTCCAAAGTTACTTGAGCATATTCAAACACCTTTCTCCCCTACCCTCATCCACTGGCTTCTCTGTCCATTGCTGTATATGGCTCAGATTTTTTTTTGTGTACTTCTGTCATTTTAAATAAGCTCTTTTTTCTGTCTACCAGGTTTCTTTCCACCTTTAGCAACCCCTACTCTATGAAACTAAACGTAGTTTTAAATACCACAGAAGCTCAGGTTTCATAGGCTGAATAATGTGTACCTCTGAATTCACGATTTAGCTTGCCATGATTTAGGACCTAGATGGGATGAGTTTCCAGACTATAGGAATAAACTATTTTGTGATTTTAGTAGTCCCCTGTAAAAATAATACTTTTCAAACTGATGGAACTTGCTGGCAGATACCCTTAAGATATTTCCATCAGTGTAGACAGAATAATATTATGGTTTTCCATAAATTTTAAATCCATTAATTTTATGGATTTCCCCTAAGAGACTTAAACTGGGTGCTGAGACGCATGCTGCTGGTTAGGGGGACAGGTATCTGTGGTCTCCAGCTTCTAATTTGAGTGTAGAGCTAAAGTGGGATTGAAATCCAGGTTCCATAATACTTTTGTTGTAGAGCTCTCCAAGGACTTTTATGCACATTTAGGCTGCACTGTTATTTTGGTTTGGCATCTAGATTTTTTTATGTTCTCTTTTAACAGGAGAATTTTGCAATCTTTGTTTAATTAGAACTTAGTGCCTCATCCTCCTTGTGGATTTCATTGCTTGTTAGAGTTCCATAGCAGGGAATATGCAGAGGCTACCTTGGGAAAAGAAATTACCTCCCAGTGTTGTCCCTGATGAGTCACCCAGCATTTCACTTACGTCTTCCTAAGACTGAATCAAGGCAATCGGGGATGCTGTACCCTGTTACTGGCTAGATCTGAAGCTTGCTCTGTTTTTGCAGTCCCAGCAATATGCTGACATCATTCTTCAAAGAAGTACAGTCATGGAAGTTTGTCTCTGTTTCATACGCGACGCATCCATTTTTGGTTATGGGATACACAACATATTGGCCATCAGCTAATTGCAGTAGAGTGCTGGGTCTAAAATAAAATGTCACACGGAAATATTGTATTTTATTTATATGATTTGTTTAATTTGTAAAAACAATGATTCTATAGTTCTTTTTACAGGGTTTCCACAAGCACATACCTGTAGTTCTAACTAAAACTTATTAGAGGTGGAAAGGCAAGTAAACATCAGAAAATCTTAGTTTAGTACTGCATCTCTATGTTTCCTTTACAGTGTTGGTCCCTATATATCTGCCATGTTATCTAATGTATGTATTTAATCTTTAGGTCTCAGATGGTCAAGGAGATGAGCGGTCGGAGTCTCCCTATGAAAGTGCAGATGAGACTCAGACAGAAGTATCTATATCATCTAAAAAATCTGAGCGAGGAGCTGCAGCAAAAAAAGAATATGTATGTCAGGTGAGAGACTAGTTGGAGCTGTTGTTCATTGCTCACAGATTCGTTCCAGAGATGCTTGTAGAAGATAAAGTTGTTTAGGTAGGTTTAGTCCAAGCCTGAGTTATTTTACATCTCTCAAGGAAGGAACAGCGTAGTGATTGAAGACAGCAGCTTAAATTTGCGTCATTTCTCAGACCTGAAGTGGATCCACTTAGCTATGCTGCTTTTTAGGTAGCAGATCTGTAAAATGAATGCAGTCCCTCCCCCAAACAAATGCTGAGAGATAATGCTTTATAGTTAAATCGGTGAAGCAAAGATTGTCTCCACTATTTGTAAAATAGCAGTGGCTAACAGAGTGAGGTGGCGCTGCTCCTGATTTGCAGCCTCTGGGTATTATCATAATGCAAATAAATAGCAATGCTTGCAGTAGTAATAGTGTTCATATGGTTTCTTTGTTTAAAAGTTAGTTGTGGCTTAGGAAATGAAGTAATGCTATATGTTTGTCTGTAATGGATCAAACAAGAAAATTCTCCCCAGCTCCTTGCAAATAAATCTAATCTCAGGTGCACTATTTGAACATGCTGGTTAATCACTGAACAAACGGCTCTCAATTGGAATCTGACTATTGTTAGCTATGCACATGCTAATTCTGACAATTTAGGCATGAGGGCCGCTTACAGATATGGGAACCACCCCCTCCCCCAAAGCTTTACTTTCAGTGCAGCGCATGCCCTGAAGAGACATCATATTAGTTTGACCCAGCTCACCCAACATCTGTATAGATCACATGCTTCAGCAGGGCTTTTTGGCATTTTTATTCAATAGCTGATTGAATCAGCTATTAGATAAAAACACCAAAAAGCCCAACTCAAGTCTGATCTATACAGACATGGAGGAGCCAGGTCAAGCTGATACACTTTCTCTTCCAGTAAAGTGCTGGATTTTTTTTCACATCTGCCAGTGGCCAAAATGTCCTTTCCCTAACTAAGGGGGAGAAAAGAATGCTTTTTCTTTCATCCTATTATGGTAATTTAAGATAAAAGAGAATTTGTGTAAAATATTTTTGTTAATATTGGTTTACCTCATTTAACCTTGTACCTACTGTTTCTTGTATCATACGGGCATGTCCCTGGTTTGCTTGGAAATAAAGTAATCTTTTGATATTTGTAGAATGATGTTACTTTCCTTTGCATGTAAAGCTGTTTGATTTTAAGAGTAATAAAATGGTATGTGAGGGGAGAGGTTTATGAGAGAAGGAATGGAGAAAGTAATTTCTCCCACATGCATTTTTTTCTTTAACACTCAATACTTTTATGTTGGAAAAGCTGTGTGAAAAAACAGGTGATCTCCTGCTTTGCGAAGGAATATGTTTTGGAGCGTTTCATGTCAGCTGCCTTGGGCTGTCTGGGAGACCAGCAGGAAAGTTCATCTGTAGTGAATGTACATCAGGCAAGTATTGTTTCTTTGAATTAAAACAAAACACTGTGTTATTGAGATTTTTTTTGTCCTTGCCAATCCTGTTAGCTCAGAGTAGGTATTTCTGAATACCTACTATTCTTCTGGTGTCATGCAGCATGAGAACTCCTGTTTTTCTACCTTAATGCATAAGTTTTGGGAAATCCAGGTGCCAGGTTTTTCTCATCAAAGACCTCTTTTACTAGGAGCTGGTTTACTCTATGCATAGTAGTTGTAATATGACCAGGATATTTGTCATGTTTAATCATGGAAGATTCAAAAACTCTCACAGATTCGAGAAATCCTCAAATTAAGTGAAAGCTGGAGGCAAAAGAATTCTTTCACTTTTTTTTCCTCTTCTCCCTCTCTCTAGTTTCTGCCTCCAGTGTCTTTCTTTCAGTCCACTTCTTTCCTTCAGAAATTTGCTTGCAGCCTGTAGCTATTAGTCTCCATTGCTTCTGATCTTGTAACAACCTACTATATAGTAGTGGTGATACTTCAGTGTGACATAAAAGATACTGAGCACCTGTTGACATTGTCAGACGGTGAACGTGCTGAATTTTGTTACAGAAATGCTGTGTTCCAGGATAGTGGAAGTTCTCATGGTCTCTTAGTCAGGTGGGCCAGCAAGAAACTTAGCAAACTCTCTCACGGAGTTTGTGCATCTATCTGAAGATCTGCAGGATCACAGCCTATACTACTGACTTACTGTTAGAGAGAGGCTTTTACCAAGTCAGTGATCATATGAAGATTTGATTATTAAACATTATATTACATTTGAATTGTATCTGGTACATTTTAGGCCAGATTGGTTAGAAGATCTTTGATACCAAAAAGTGTAAGTCAAAATATGGCTTAAGCACAGAAGCTAGGATGAAAATGTCATGAATTATTTTTATTGTTTTTATCATTTAGGTGTGCACACCTGTTTTGTTTGTAAGGAGAGAAAGGCAGATGTGAAACGATGTATTGTATCCCACTGCGGAAAATTCTACCATGAAGCATGTGTAAAAAAATTTCATCTTACTGTGTTTGAGAACAGAGGTTTTCGATGTCCTCTCCACAGTTGCTTGAGCTGTCATGTTACTAACCCCTCAAATCCAAGAGTGTCAAAAGGTATTGCTAAACTGTTAGAGATCTAAGGAAAAAAGTTTTAAGCTGCATTTGTTAAGTTACAGCTTAGTATTGCAGAATATAAGGAATAAAATGCACCTCTGCTAATTCAGCTATTTGCCTTGTTCTGCCCATTATACTTCTTTAGTAGGAGGGTTCTAGTTGTAATGAAAGGGGCTTTTTTACCAAAGCCTAACTTTGTTCATTATGTGGGGTTCTTTAGTATTTTATGATAACCTTTTAAACACTGAATGAAAATCCATGTGATTTTTTTTAATGTTTATTCTTATATAGATAATATAATTGCATTCCCATCTTTCTGAGCACCTGCCAGTTACTAAAAAAGCAAACAAAAAAACCCCCGCAACTTGATGCAACATGCTTTGAAGGTGGGAAAAAACAGGATTCTTTGAAAAATGTGAACATGAGACATTTTTATATGCTTGGTTTTCAACTTTTTTGGTTCCTTCCTAATTCAGAACCACTTGAGGAGGAATGCTTTGCTCAAATTAGAAAAGTGATTGAAGAAGAATTAAATGGGCTGAAAATAGCAAGACACAATGTGCTGCTTTTATTACCATTTCATGACCTGTTCTTTCCACACTTATTTAGTCCCATTCCTTGCAATTGAACCATTCATACAAAATAAGTAATTATTTAAGAGTAGCAAAATCCAGTCCTTTAGCAAGTGTAGATTGCCAGTTTCAGTAATGCAGACATGCATGCAATAGTATGTTACCTGGAAAACCCTTTGGAGTAAATGCATAATTATCCATCAGCATTAGAGGGGATTTTTTTTAGTTTCTTTTCTAATTATACTAGCAACAGTACAGTACAGAACTGTTACCAGTAATTAGACATAGTATCTTTCTAATGAAACTAAATATAAAATGTAGGTATGACAAATAAAGAGGATGATAGACAAGTTTATCCATATATGCCTATAAAACGTAAGTAGTGCATTGAAGCTCTTTTTGTACTTATTTGTATGTATACCTAGTTTTCTAACAATTTGAACGCATATTGTTTGATAAGCACAGTTGCAGAAAGCTTTCCTGTACTGTTATAAGTATATGAAGATCAGTACAATTAAATATCATTTAGCAAAAAAACCTGCTAGTTAAGCATTTTGGCTGAATTCAGATGCACCTGTTTTGAAGATATAATAGCTGATACACTGTCTATATGTCAGCAGTGTTATAGAGTATTAAAATGCATTGTTTGGATTACATCTGCAGAGCAGTCTGAAAGATAAATACTAAAGTATTGTGCTTCTGCTAGGCAAAATGATACGGTGTGTTCGCTGCCCTGTGGCTTACCACGCTGGAGACATTTGCATTGCTGCAGGCTGTGCTGTGATCGCTTCCAACAGCATTGTGTGTACCAATCATTTCACAGCCATGAAAGGAAAAAGTCATCATGCGCATGTCAATGTGAGCTGGTGCTTTGTGTGCTCAAAAGGTAACTTGATGGAAAGCTCTTTATTACTTTGCTGTAAGCCTCATCAACATCTAAATGTGTCATTTTTTTTCTGTTTCACCTGGATTTCATAAGATCTCTAAATAAAAATGCCAAAGACATGCACAGTCACTTCAGGTTTAATCAGATTTTGTTGAAGATATTAAAGTATCTGGTGATAAGCAGACATTTTTTTTTTAAAGAATGTTTTTCCTTTATACTTCTTCTGCCTATCCTACATCTGATTTAATTGCTAGCCAGGGAGGCATAATGAGAACTAATTATGTTCCTTCCCCTGTGTTCAACATACTGAAGCCTTTTGTATTTACTTTTGTTAATATGTATGTAAAAATATAAGTATTTTAAGAGATGCTTTTGGCTTAGTTGGAAAACAGTAAATTAAGTCAGTATTAGTTATCGCTGATATGCTCCTAATTAATGGGTTTTTGCTTTTACATTCTGCAATAAATTTTATTACTTACTGAGCACAGCCCTGTGTGCAGAGCTGATTAGAACATAGAGAGACAAACTACCTGACCTGCTGACAAATTAAACACACATTGTAGAAGCTTATTAAGCCACAGCTTGCTTAACTTCCTACTTGATAATTCATGCACACAAAACAGTGATCTCATTCCTCTGTTCAACAAAGATTTAATGAAAAAATTCTGTGGAGGCTCGTTTTTATTAAAATTTCACATCCTGTGAAGCATTAGCATAAATTAAACTACAGTTGTTAAACTAAAACGAACCAATTACAATTTGTGATGCATTATCCTAGCTGTTTTGATTGTTGGTTCACTTGCTAATTTGTATAATATAGTAATCTGAGTCTTCCAGTCAATGAAATTAGTTAGATTTGTCTTTGGTTTTTACAGACAAATGAGTAATAGGCCTTTGTTACCAATCAGTATGTTTTAACTAGTTTAAAGACTGCATTTATAGTTACATATTATACAGATTTAAATCGCACTGAAATGCTAAATTCCTCCCCCCCCGTTTCTAACTTTGTCTTCTTTGTGCAGGCGGTAGCTTGTTGTGCTGCGAGTCATGTCCTGCAGCATTTCACCCAGACTGTTTAAACATTGAAATGCCAGATGGTAGCTGGTACTGCAATGACTGCAGGGCAGGGAAGAAACTCCGTTTCCAGGATATCATTTGGGTCAAACTAGGAAATTACAGGTCTGATGAATGCACTTGTAGTTCTTATATATGGGCTGAATATAACTGGAAGAAAATTAATTTGTGCGTAGAAATGTTTGGAGGTTGCACCCTTATGTAACACCCTCAGTTTCAGAGATACGTTCAAATAGTTAAGTGTGTATAATTTTTGTAATTGATTACATTTGTTTCTTTTTTTGCCTGAGGGATTAGCCATTCAGGTGTCAGCCTTTTAAACTCCACTGGGACGTGGGTAGAACTGCTATGAGTGGTGTCACACTGGAAGGTGTCACCATTCTTGTGTAGTGTAGACAGTCATAGTCATGTATGGTTGTCCACAGACAAAATCTGGTTTTGCTAGCCAGACTCAGGAGAGGCTGTGTAGCCTGATTCCCTCTTCTGGTTTTCAAATTTCCATTAAATCAGTCAGTTTCTGCCCATTGCCTGGCACTTTTTTATAAGTTTGGAACTGGTTGCATGTGGTGTCCAAAACTAATTGCTGCATAGGGAGACAGAGAGAGATGTGCCACCAAGCAAATGTGAGGCCTCACCTTGCTTATCCTAATTCTTTTTCTTGTTTAATGAATTTAAACAATGGTAGGTTTAAAGCTGTTTTACCATTTTGTGTTGTCTGGTGACTTGCTTTCTTAAATCTGATTCTAAGCAGCGCTCCAACTACAGTGTTCAGTCGTTGTTGTTGATTACTGTTGCTAAACTGTCTTGTGAAGAAAGGATTTGACTAAACTGCTGTATTTATTTGTGCTCCTATGATAGATGGTGGCCTGCAGAAGTTTGCCATCCAAAAAACGTCCCCCCAAATATCCAGAAAATGAAGCATGAAATTGGAGAGTTTCCTGTGTTTTTCTTTGGTTCTAAGGATTATTACTGGACGCATCAAGCTCGTGTATTTCCATATATGGAGGGAGACAGGGGGAGTAGATACCAAGGAATTAAAGGAATTGGAAAAGTCTTCAAAAATGGTACAACAAAGCAAAAATAATATGCGTCTGTGCACGCTTCGATTTCTAAAGATACTGTACTTGAGCCCAGAACTACTTTATGTAATCTTGTTTTGCAGTCTAAAAGAGGAAAAAACAGTTTTGTGATTCAGAATACGAGTCACTACCATTAGTTTGGATTGAATATTTGGGTTTTGTTACTTCTAGCATTATATAGGGTAAGTCAGTGATGTCCAGCCTTTTGGCCTTATTGGCAAAATGAGTAGTCCAGGGTCAGTCAGCAGGGCAGATTGAGTCCATGGGGCTGGGAGGTGCACTGACTTGGGCCAGCTAGATCCTGCTTATAGTGCCATGTCATCTGGCCCATGGGGCTTGCACATTTGGCATTAATTGCTACCACTCCCCACTGCCAAATTTCTGGAGCTTTGGGGAGCCCCATGGGTTGCATCACACAGCTTTCCAGGCTGGGGATTGAGTACTCCTGGTCTAACCAATATGGTGGTATTTTTGCCTGTCTGGAAAACAATCAATGAGCATAAATACTAGTCATGTTATAAGAGCTGTAAAGGAATTTAGTTAGTCCATTGACATCTCTATTATAGAGATGTGTAAACCAAGTAGAAGGAAAGTGAAGGGACAAGAGGGGGGAGTGTTACTGGGCTGCAGGGAATAATCTTTCTCTAGGTCCTAACAATACAGGTGTTTTGTTTTTCCAGCTTTGCAAGAGGCTGAAGCTAGATTTCGAGAAATAAAACTTCAGCGAGAAGCCAAAGAAACCCAGGAGAATGAACGTAAACCACCACCGTACAAACACATAAAGGTAAGGACAGGTGTCTCGTAACCCACTCACTTCAGCTATGTTCTCTGCTTCAAGGAATTCAGTCTCAGTTGGCCAGTTTATCATAAACTGGATGCAGATCTAATCTTCTTCTGCCATGGAGGGAAAAGAAATTTTAGGTGGTCTTTGGCAGAGGGCTTTGCTGGAAGGCTTCACAGGAGAAGAATGTGTTTGAGTAATGATATGAATTAAGTCCAGACCTTTAATTGACATGCTGTGAAACGGAAGTGGTTCCTGGGCAGGTTAAATAGTTCAGCCAGCACACAATGATTTTAAAGCATTTTGCATAGATTGCAGGGATCAGATTGAGCTAGGGAGAGATAAAAAAGAAGACAGTTGTGCTAGTGGCAAAAGAATAGCAGAGAACACCCAGAAGAATTTTCATGGTGCTAAATGGAAAATTACTTTTAAAAAATCTTGAGGAAGCTGCAGGATTTAATGAGAGTCGTGAAACAGAAAAGGGGTCTGTCACTGAGGTTACAAGAATCAGAGTGTATAATATCATTTTTTAAAATTAGGGAAAGGAAGAGAAGAAAGCTTCTTTCCTTTTTTTTTTTTTCAGTACTTCATCATGTTGAGATTGAAGTGACAGCAGGAAGATAATAACCTATGATGGATTCACTTGAAAAACCAGGCTGTTTTACAATAATACTTGGTCTATTTTTATGTATGATTCAGGTGAATAAACCTTGTGGTAAGGTTCAGATTTATACTGCTGATATTTCTGAGATTCCCAAATGCAACTGCAAACCCACAGATGAAAACCCTTGTGGCTTTGATTCTGAATGCCTAAACCGGATGCTGATGTATGAATGTCACCCACAAGTTTGTCCAGCTGGAGAACGCTGCCAGAATCAGTGCTTTACCAAACGTCAGTACCCTGAAACAAAGATAATCAAAACGGATGGCAAAGGCTGGGGTTTGGTTGCCAAGAGAGACATAAAAAAGGTATGGATAATAGCCCTTTCTAGTTCCACATTATGGCACTCATTCTTTTTTGGGATAAAGATTCAAATCTGTCTTTTGTGTAAGTGCAGTGTAATTATGGAATAGTATTTGCTCAATTGTGACCATCTCTCTAACAAAGTGGAGCTCTTAATTTCCCCCGTCCCTGCCCCTCATCCCTCCAAAGAACAAGTTGTTAACTTGTGGCACTGTTAGGTTGGGTTTATTCCTTTACCAGCAATGCTCTTCTGTCCTTCAGGGAGAGTTTGTGAATGAGTATGTTGGTGAACTAATTGATGAAGAGGAGTGTATGGCAAGAATCAAATATGCACATGAAAATGACATCACTCACTTCTATATGCTCACTATAGATAAGGTACAATATTTTAATATTTCTCTTGTCATGTAATAATGTGTTTATTATTTAATAATACATTCTGATAAACATTTGACTTGCTTTCCTGTGGAAAAGCAGTGCAGTAACTGATAGGTCCAAAGACTAAACTGTCTGATCTGCTTTGATTTATCATCTGTTCACAGTGTTTTTCACTCTTTCTGTGACTTCTGCATTTCAACACTTATCTACAAGGTGATAAGCATGTCAGAAACACCTATGGTAGAATCATGCAGATTGCAGTTGGCTGCACTTGGCTGTCTGTCATCAAGTACAACAAAGATAAGCATATACCTGATTAAAATCGTGGGGAAAATATACATTTATTTGATATAGCGAGGAGACAGTTGAAGTACACACAAAACAATAGCACCACTGTTAACAGACCACTTTTATTAAAAAATGATATGGCTTGGTGGGAAATTGTAACCTTGAGAGCATGTCAGTAAGCCATCTTCATTTCTTTGTTTGTTCACAGCAAAGTTTGGATCTGGAAAAAATGACCCCAAGCACACCATACTCCTTTTTGTAGGAGCTTTTCCCTAGTGTTACCGGCTGTATAATTGCTCAGCCCTCGCTGTCTTCACAATGCATATGAGGATAGTGTTCTGTGTCTTCGCAGCTACTGTCACTATTTCTCCTGTTAGCATTGTAAAAGGAGTAGGTCATTGCCTGATGGAGATCCTGCCATGACCAACCAAGTAATTCAGTAAAGGATGAGAAAACACCAATACAGTATGTTAAATAGCAGTACTGGGGCTCTGGAACTTGTAACTGGTAACTGACAACCTGTGGTCGGTCAGTAAGGGTCAGGGTTTTTTAAAATAAGTCTGCTCCTTTGTGTGCCTTGTTTGTGCATGTAAATGACCATTAAGCCTGTATGGCCGTCTGCCAACAGAGTTGCTTAATTTCCAGGCACATAGTCATAGTAATTGCACATGTGCAATGTCAACTCACCCTAAATTCAGGAGGAAACTTTAGTAAGGTAATTAAAACACATTCTGCTTGTAATATGTTGCTTTTAGAATAACCGCTGCATGCCACAAACTCTAAATAGTTTTGCTTTCCAGTTCAGCAGAATGCAGCATCAGTTATTCGTCCAAGGTCCAACCCCCTAAACATTAACTGTAAATTTGTTATTTGTCCCCAAAGTTACTGTCTTTTTCTTAAGAGACACAGTGGTGTTGTTTTTCATGGAGATATGGAGAGGGCTGCTAAACAGCTGGTCAAAGAATCAAATCAAAACTGTCAGCTATTTTCAAGATTTTTTTTTTTTATTGTGTTTTCTAGCTTTGGAGGTGTAAAGAGGTTAAAAGGCAGTTGCATGTAGGGTTGGACTTTCTTAAAGACTACTTACTAAAAACTTATTTGGGTTTACACAAGGATAAGCTAAAAAAAACAGCAAGGAATTTGTAATGTCTGCAAGTCAATAGCAAATTGACCAATGCCATTCAGTGTGTTACTTAACAAAATAAATATAATAAGGTTTCAGATACAGGAAAACTGATTCATTTAGGTTTTATTATTTTTAGGGTATTTTTCTTTTGTTTTCTGAACCACTTGCTCACAAGAAAGCTTATCCTGCCATGTGGCTGTGATAAATACTGTGGAAGCGTGAGCTAGATCATGGTATTGCTTTGGGAGCGTCCATTCCAGTTCATATGAGGCGCTACAGTTTTCAATACAACAAGTAAAATAGAGGTACTTATATATTGCTGACTGACAAGACTGTCTATGTCTTTACATGTTTGTATGCAATTCTGGAAATTGCGTATTTTCATGAGAGAAAAGAAATCATTCTCTTACTATTTTAATTTTCAGGATCGTATTATTGATGCTGGTCCCAAAGGAAACTATTCTCGTTTTATGAATCACAGCTGCCAACCAAATTGTGAGACTCTAAAATGGACAGTAAACGGAGATACACGTGTAGGCCTGTTTGCTGTGTGTGATATTCCTGCAGGTATATGAGTGTCTGGGGTTTTTAGTATGAAATGTTAAACCTGTTGCCTGTCTGCATCAGATAAAAATCAATGCAAGCCAGTTCTGGTGTGATTTAACTGATTACTTTTGGCACAAAGTTCCCCATGGAACTCAGTGCGTTCTCTCTTCATAGAGAGGAGAATACCAAGTTTTTCTTTTTCTCTAGTAAATGTTTTCTTACTGTTGAGCCTTAGACAAACCTTAAAATGGCTGCTTTTTGTTCATCTGATGGAAGCTCCTAAAGGATCCAGTTACTACCTATATTGAGCTCCTTTTCAGTACAGCAAAATATGGTTTTTCAAGGAATTTAAACTATATTTAAGACTAGGTGTAATGAATGGACATGCCAGGTAATTGCAGGGAGCGGGTAAAGGGGAACAGAGGAAACAGTATATTAAAAGAAAAGTTTGTTTCTCAGCCCTGTGCGTATAAATGATTTTAAGTTAATTATGTAAAAACATGTTTGACATAAGAAAAAAATGAAAAGCCTCTGCTGGATATGTACCTAATAATGATCAGTGCTTGTAAAGGATGGAGAGACAGAAGTAAAAATACTAATTGCAGAGCAAGTGCTAAAATGGGCAAAGCAGAGTAGAATACTTATTTGTGGATTAGTGCTGATTGTGGATAGTCCTTACCTTGTACTTTGTTTAGTAAAGCGTATGATAAACAGTCTTATCTCTTACTCAGGGACAGAGCTGACTTTCAACTACAATCTCGACTGTCTGGGCAATGAAAAAACTGTCTGTAAATGTGGTGCCCCAAACTGCAGTGGATTTCTTGGGGACAGACCAAAGGTATGTAAAATATAGCCTGAATTTAAAAAGTACCCTTCAAAACTAAAAATCCTGTAGCTATTCAAAAAAAAGTTACAGATTTTGTTTTGTAGTTTTGGGGGGGGTTAGAGTGTTAGTGAAAAATTATAATACCTGTAGGAAAACTTCAGCAAATAAAGCAACATGCTCTGAAAACTATCAAACTTCTCTGACATTACAGAAATGTTACTGTTAAGGGTGAAAGATGCATCATGTATTGCTGCAGTTATTCTGGGAGGGGAGGGGGGACATTGAGGCCCTTGGCAGACATGCAGTTAAAAGCACAATGGTATTTGCATGTTCCCCACAATTGCACTTCCTGCCATGCTACACATGAATGACAGGAGGCATGACTGTGAGATCAAAATTATTCAATTTTTTCCTCCTCGTCTGTCACTAGGTTCCCTCCTCCATTCAGTACTTATATCTAGAAATGACCGTTCCTAGAAATGATCTAGGAATTACCTTAGATTTGCTTAAACATTACATTCCTGGCGCTGGTCACACGTAGACATTGGAATGAAAATTTACTGTGGAACTGAGGGAACTGGCATAGGAAAGCAAAATCAGTTTCTTAACCATGGAAAGACTATCCACCTTTTCAGTAACATGGTCCTTGACACTGCTCAGTGACTGGTCCTTCAGAGGGAGGATGTGCAATTGCAGAATACACCAATTTTTATCTTTTTAGAAGAGGAATAATCTTACCTCAGCTTGTCATCTGTGTATGCACTGAACCAGGAAAAAAATTGTAACTCATCTCTATAGAGCTGTCTGGATTGCTAGATAAAGTATGCTTATTTGAGTAATAAGTTATAATAATATTGCATATACAAGACTACATCCACATCCTGAAATAATGTTGTCAATGACCGTTAACTTTCTGCATGTAAAATCTCCACGTGCTGCAGCGACAGAGACCTAATAGAAATATGTACCCTCATGGAAAGACAATTCTTGATACAAGAAGGTTCTTTAATTTAGACCCAGAAGTAATAATAATAAGATCCAGCAAATATAAGTGGAAGTTAACCGTCCTTGAAGAAAAATGTAAATGCCTAACGGGATACTAAATCATTGAACACTAGTATACCAAACCATTGAATCAAGGGTTTCTCCATCACTTGATGCTAGAGTGAATGCTTTTCAAATAGGATGTTTTCGCCCAACCAAAACTCATAGTCTTGATACATGGAACTCATGGTTCTACAATCTGTATTTTTCAAACCAGGCTGTAATATTCCAATAATCTCCTTTTACTTGAAAATCTGAAATCTTTCCAACTTGTAGTGTGACTAGAGCTGTGGTTAATTAATTAGGTCGTGTCATTTATTAGGTCATTTACTTATACTTCCTTCACTGTTTTAGACATTTTGATTGATAGGCTAATTATAAGTGATATTTTGTGTTAAAAGGTATTATTCCATCTTGGTGTTACCTGTGTTACTGAGCATTCCTCCTGCTCTTGTGCATCAGGGTTTGTGTGGGAGCAGCCAGCAGGCCTCTGCTTACAGCATTTTTTGCTTGCACTGAAAAATATTTGCTTTCTGAAATATTTCTATTTTCTGTCTAATATTTTACTGCAAGTAGAAAAAGTTGACAGCCCAAAGACTGATGGCTTTTATCTGCAGGATATGCACAGTATAGGTGGCCATGAGCAAGCTTCTTCATGCTGTCCTAGCAAAGTGTTGTTAGCTCTGAACTACGAGGATATCCTTTAAGAACTAGAAGCTGCCTTGGTCCCTATGTTGAATCAAACTTAAGCTTTGCTTGTGAGACTGCCTCCATGGGAGTCAACACCAACAGAGTTCCCCTGGGAACTTGAAGCACTAATTATCTTAACTTCTTCTACCAGGAAATTCCTGTTGGTTGTTATAGGCTTCTCTTCTCTCTCAGTGAAATATCTTAATTTTTCAATTTTTTGGTTTTTTTTTAAAACTGTAATTTCCCACAGAATTCTTCCACTAATGCTTCAGAAGAAAAAGGCAAAAAGACCAAAAAGAGAACGCGGAGACGTAAAACAAAAAGTGAAGGAAAGAAACAGTCTGAAGACGAGTGTTTCCGTTGTGGTGATGGAGGACAACTTGTTTTGTGTGACAGGAAATCTTGTACTAAAACTTATCATCTCTCCTGTCTTGGTTTGGTGAAACGTCCTTTTGGTGAGTAGCACGTATGAAGTGGCGGGGAAGGAGGCTGTTTGTGATAAAACCTGTGCTGCAAATGTGTAAACCAATAGATTACAAGAAATATTTGCCTATCACATTGCATCTTTAAAAGAATTCTTCCTTAAAATTGAGGAAAGTTCCTATTCTTCAGGCAGTAGTTTATAAATATGACAAGAGTTTCTTTTGGATAGGGAAATGCCCAGTATTCTTATCCCTTTCTAGACAAGCCAGGCACATAAGTCCACGTCACTACATTAAGGTAGGGGTATTCATGTCAAGTAGAAGGCCCCTGGCACCTAGAGCCCCTTCACTAAGGCATGGGAAATATATTAAACACAGTTGCATTCATGGAAAAGTCATGAGATTCATGATTCCTTTTTTAATTCCCCTGCTTTTTTTAACTTGGCTCAAAAAGGAAAGAGACTTAAGTACAGTAGTCTGCTGCCTAGACTCATTGTTGAAATCCATGATCCCCTCAGTAATGAAGTGTCCCCTTCTCCAAATGTATGCTGCTGTTAATTGGAGGAGTATAATCAAGCTGAGCAGGTTCTTGGAAGATGGCTTGCCATACTCCTTGTTATTAGGACCTGTCAGCAACAATGACTTGTTAAATCCATATACTTGTAGCTGTTCTCAGAACCTTAAAACCCATCTGGCTTTTAGTCCCTGAGTTCCTTGGCTGAAACCAGGAATTTGATGTTGATTCCTCTGGCTGATTGGTGCTGGAAGAAAATGCTGAGATACGCATTCCTGTAAGATGACTTCTGTCCTGGGCTTTCCTTGTGTTATTGGTAAAAGCACTTTGTATTGGACATTACCAAAGATGTTCACCTTTCTCCATCATTTCGGTTCACAGAAAGGGCATGGAATGATACTAGCGGACTGGGACTAGCTGTGGCCGAAAGCCCCAGGATGCCCCATGGGCAAGGCTCAATGGCACCTTAAACGAAAATAACCAACGGGTCTGAAAAGATGACAAGACTAAATACTAAATGTTGTAACCTCTAAGATAAATTTCCAGTGCCAGTTCAAAGTTTTCTTGGAAGGGAGCAGTGGGCACTATTGCATTTTTTTGTGGTTGCCTACAGTGATTTATAAATGAGCAGCTGAAGTTACAACATCTTAAGATATCCTCAGGTGGCCCATAGGGTATATATGCAGTTACAAGGACCTTTTATTTAGATGGGTTCAAGGCTGCATGGATCCACACAGATAAGGTTAAGAGAGCATTCACTCTTCACTTGGTACTACAGAAGAAGCTCTGCTTATAGTTCATTTTCTGTAGTTTGTTGCCGTTCAGAGGTCAGAAGCTGTTAGAGAAAGAAGACAGGTAAACATAAAAATGTGACCAATACAAGTACATTTGGTACTGTGCAATAACATCTGGAATGGGGAGAGGTTTCTGGATACCATTTATTAGCCAGAACGAAAGCGATGGGCAAGAAATTGAATACATTTTAATTTACTTTCCATGTAAACAGAAGTTTCTACTGAAAAGTGGAAAGCTTTTAATGTGCTGGGTTGGAACTCATTAGAAAATATTTCAGGGAACTGAATTATTTATATTGACTGGATCTGTGTTGTATTTAAGTGGTAAGGGGTCAAGCAGTCCATGTAAAGTAGTCTGCTCAGCTTATCTAGAGGTGTATGGCATCACATTTAGCTTTCAGTGAGTCTTTAGCCAGAAAAATTGCTATCCCCGCTTACACTTTTTATAATTATTTCTGTGCTTTTTAAAGCAGACATTCAACACAAAGCATTTTCTGGCCTTTTTGCAACATGAAGCTTTCTTCTCATAACTGAAAAGAAAAACATTATTCTTCCTCTCTTCTTTGTTCGATTGCAGGAAAGTGGGAGTGTCCGTGGCACCACTGTGATGTGTGTGGCAAACCTTCCATGTCTTTTTGCCATTTCTGCCCAAATTCTTTCTGCAAGGAGCACCAAGATGGGACAGTACTAAATTCTACATTAAAGGGACAGTTATGCTGCTCTGAACATGTTCTTGGGGTAGCTTCTGTTGCAACTCAGAAGACTCGGAGACACCCCAGAAAAATGACCAAGTTGAAGCGCAAGAGAAGACAAAGGACCAGATGGATGAGAGCTGAATGCAAATAGTAATGGACTGCAGTATCTACTGCCAACACTATCTTGTAGATAAGTTGTGAATAGGGCCAGGGAAGGACATGGTTTTACATATATTCTGTAAAGGTTACATTTTGGGAGGGGATTGGGAAGCATTTTTTATTTTGTTTTTTTTTAATCCACTGAGCCAACCACAGCAGTCTTCTGCTGCATCTGCACTGATAACGAACTGTGGCATACATAGTTCAGAATTTTTCAGGACAAACCAAACTTATTACTCAGCATTACAGTTACACTTGAATTGTTACGAATGTATAAGGTTCCCTCCAATATTTTTCAAGTTGGAGGTAGGTTAAATCAAAGCAGGTAGGCACATTATAAATGTAGGTTTTGAGGTAGTATTTGCCATCCAGCGATGTTTAAAATAGTATACCCTTGAAAGAAATTATTAGGTGTCAAGTTTTTTGGTCTGCAGTCCCAATTTATATCTGCTTGCCTTGAGTGAATTGTTGAGCAAGTATTTGAGTGCCATTTACAACCCAGGTGCTTATCTGATTATAATCAACACACTTTTTAATTTGTTCTTGCTCTTATAAAATGGTTGTCTAGTTGTTCTTAAATATATTTTTAATATCCTTCATCAAGAAGTACAGTGCATGGTGAAAAAAAGCTCACCTGTCATAGAGAGGGAAAACCTTATAAAAGATTTTTTTTCTATACTGTTTTTTCCTGTATTTCATGTCAGGTAAATAGAAATACACTTGATCTTACAGAGTTGACAAGTCTGGACTTAAAGGGATATTGTTTTACAATCTCAGCCCAATATTTAGGATTTTTATGTTCTTAATAAATAAAAAGAATCTTACAACACCTAATATTAAGAGAATAGTTCATTATTTTTTCTTAAAACCAATAAAAAAGTTCACAGGCAAGCATTTCTTTGCACTCAATCCAAATCTTGCAGCTTTGTGATAGTGTGAGAAATAGTGACTTGATAGTGAACTGCAGAATGATAAGTCAGTAGAAATTATTTTCAAAATAAACTGGAATTTTAAAGAAACACAATTATTAAAATAATAAATGTGACCTACTTGTCCCTTTCTAAATAGCATTTATAAAACTGACTGCTTGACTTCAAGAACAGACTTTGTCATTCCTTTCTCGCTGAAGAGCTCAGAAATTGTTTCAGTAACACTTTTATTTTCTTGACCCCTGTTAGGTTCCAGACTTTCAGTGTGGTGCATATACAATACTTAGGTTTAATGGAAATCACTGTAGAACTAGGAAAAAATGGTGAAGGAAAATATCTTAAATAATTTTGCTTACCATTTCCTACCTTGTATGTGTAATTGGTGTGCAGTGAGGCAGTGTTATAAACAAGTTTTGACTTGTGTAGTCATTACGTACCCCATGGAAACACAATGTGCGCCTTCATGACCATTTAATAATTTGTATATGTTCTAGCTTAGTGTGCCTTTACTAGTGCAGAAACTCTGTGTAGCTTTTTTTTTTTTTTTAAATGAAGCATAGCTATATTATAAAGTGTATATTTTTTCAAAGTATTTTTCAGGGTTTAATTGCAGTTCTAGTTATTTGAATGATTGAAATCTACATCTGTTCCCAGTACATGAGAATGTTTACTTTTTTATTAGATTTTATTGCAGAAGTTCTAAAATGTACCATTATTCTGTGCTAAGAACTGATTTTTTTTTTTTTAATTTCTTTTGTAATAGAGCAACTGCTTTGTTTTGTGGATCAAAATTTTATAAATACTGTTGGAAGGTTTGTTCTTCCCTTTTTCAAATAATCCTTGGCTGAAAGTAGCCAGTTCACTATAGGAGAGTGTTACATTTGTTAGCACTATGACATTTCTACTTTTACGAGATAAATATACAAAGCCTTGCACATGTGGAAAAATTGTGAAGGTTTCTGAAGGATGTTTGAGGGGACTGTTCTTTTGTCCTAAAGTTCTTACTTGCATTGCCAAGGCTAAAGCATAGCCAGGTGCCTGAAATCAAAACCAAAAAGATGTTTTGTATATTTTTTCAGCGTTGGGGAAGGGAGCTTAGATATTCTTTTGAAGGGAAAGGGAGGGGGGAAGCAAAAGCAAAAATGTTTTTCCTGGTCACTTTAGAGCAAAATGAAGGAATTTGGTATTATCAAGACATATAGCTCGATATTTGTTTGGATAACATTCCCTGTGAGGACGGCTTTATAAAAATACTTTTTAAATAAGTTATTATGAAATCTTACCTTGACATTTTAGTATTTTAAAAATGTCTGTATTACATTTTTACCTTGTTCATAGCTTTGTACCTCTTCATCTTGCTGTAAGAGTTCCAGTGCCTTGGAATAGTTACAGACTGGTTTCTAATGGGCAGATATCCATGTCAAAGAAATCACCGTACAACTGGTGGTAATTGGCACCATTGCTGAGATCAGCAACTGCATGATCATGAAATATGAAACCTCCCACTTCACTCCTAGGTCAGGATGTACAGCATTTCAGCATGGCTGCATGCACTACAGTCACCCATGCTGTATTTGTCTGTGGGAAAATAAAGACTTCAGTCTCCAGGGCTATCATTCCCATACTTTTCTCATGTGCATTAAATTCACGCATATACCTTTGGAGAGTGGTTTTCTGCTAGTTATATGTGACTATATTTTTCTGCTTCCTTCCCACCTAACCAAGAATTCTAAAATGTTTGGGCCGACAGTGACATACATCCTTGAGAAGAATAAATTATAGATGTGTGCTTACAGTTAGCAAAATTAGTTGAAAATCCAGCTTTTATTGGTCATCTCTTTTTAAAAAATTGATAGCTTAAAAATAAAGACCAAATTTTGTCTCAGTTCAAAGCCCTTACAGCCTGTTAGCTTAGCAGGGTTGCTTGAAGTGTAATTTGATATAATTTAGTACCTGGTTCAGGAGAATTTGGATTTCTTTTTTCACTGAGACTTCTACACTTTGTCTTAGAATGAGAAGAATCTGCTTTAATTGAAAAAGAGCCATGTCTACATTTTCCTTTTCCACAGGTCAAATACAGTGGAAATATTCCTGCTAAAAACCAAAGTGTAAAAATGACACAGTAGCTTTTAGTAGCCAACATATGTAAAGATTGGCCATTTGGTTGTAAAATCTTCTAAATACTAATTGCAACCTGAATAGGTCATCGTAAATTAGATCAAAATGTTTACTTATTGTCATATCCATCAAATTATGGCTATTTTTCTCTTTTTGGTTACTTCTCTTGTACAAAGTTGGTATAAACTAGGTAAATCCCAAATATGCTGTTGCTTCCTGATCAGATGAGTGAGCATGGAAGTGATAGTTTCAGGTAAAAAAAAAAAAAATATCAGAAGTTTTTTCCTACACTTTGGAAAGAATAATTAAATTAGATTGCAGCTTTGTTTTGTAGTTTGCAGCCATAGCCAGTTTTTAGGGGAGTATTCGAAATACTTTAAATACTGGAGTTATTTGGAGAAGTATTAATGGGAATGCTCTGCGTTGCTGAGTCATATTATTCCTTGTCTGACCCTTTGAAAATTTTGGTGTCTTATTAAAGTTCGTTCCTAGTTATCTTATTTTGAAATTGCCAGTTTTTGTTTGGGAAATGAAATAAATAGTGGGTTTTATTCTTACAGTAATTATTTAAAAGTGAAACAGTATATATTGTGCAAATACGTCACTTTGTTGCTATATTGATGAGACTTAAAAATACTAGGATTTTATCATGCAAATTTGAGGTGTACAGGGTTTCCTAAGTGGTTGGCTGGAATTTCGACTTTTTAAGCTTCATTTGTAAGTGATATGTTTATGCTTTCAAACTCTGCTTTCATGTTTTTTCTTTAGCAAGTGGTGACAATGCAGCCTAACATTCCCCACTGTAAGATCCTGTTTTCAGTTGGTTGTCACTTGCCACATTTTTAACTGTTTGGGCTGTAATTTTCCATATCAGGCCAGAGGGTGTTGTTAAAGTTTCAGCAAAAATACTTAGACAGTTCCAAGAACAAGATTACCCATGTTAAAATATATATTTTTAGTAGTTCTGTTGAGGAGGTCTGGTGTCCCCAAGGTCCAGAGAAGGAGCTTGACATTTGACTTGGAGAGGGTGTTTCACAGCTGGATTCTCTGAAATGTCTCTGAAAAATGTCTGCTGAGCATGCTCCAACCCAGGGCCACAGAGACTGAACAGAAGAATTTGTCTTCAGTAACTCCTGCAGGGGGTAAGGGGGGAACAACATCAGACACAAGGGCTAAGTACAGAGGTCCAAAATACCAGAGGCAAAATGGATTCAATCTTTGCAGTTTTTTCTAAGCTGCCTAGATTGAGCCAGTAACAAACTGAACTGCCCAAGACAGGGCAAGGCCTGCACTGGCCCAGGCCAGAAGCCTTGGAGTGCTCGTGCACCACCCCTCATGGCCAGGCTGCCTAAGGCTGCTGAACCAGCAGCCAAGGCCTGATTTGCAGCTGGGGTTTGGGGGGGCGAAGCACCCACCAGGGGTCCTGTCCCCCCTCCCAGCCAGGCTGGGCTCACACCAGCCCCAACCCTCCTCCAGCTGTCAGCCTCTGAGCCCACTCCCCAGCCCAGCTCTGAGCTGTGGGAAGAGCCCACCGGTGGGTGCTTTCCCCTCTGTGCCAGGCAGATGTTGACTGGGGGGTCGGCTAACCTCCTCACCCCCCTTTCCCTCACCCCTCTTGGAGGTGATAGCTGGGGGATCCCAGCATGGCTCAGAGCTGCAGGGGGGCAGGTGAGAAGCTTCTGGGCGGGGGCTTCCCCACAGACTCCACCTGGAGGAGCGAGTTTCAAGCAGGAGTGGGGGGATGTATATTCCCAACCTCTAGGAGGCGGAAACTATGGAAAGGGCGAGGCTGAGCCAATCCCTGCCCAACTCACTGGGCTGCAAGGGGGGCAGGGAAGCAAAAAGCTACCGCCACTGCAGGGACTTTTCATTTCCTTGCTGTACAGCCTGGGGCTAGGGGGACCCAGGCAGTAAGTAGTAGGTCCAGGCAGTAAGCAGGCTGGGAAGATGAGGCTTGAATGCCTCAGCTCTGTGGCAGCTGCAGATTGGGCTGACCTTGCTTTGTTGGAGCTGACAGCACAGCCCAGAACTCCAGAGCCTCCTGGGATGCTGGGGAACTGCGAGTGAGCTTGATTCCAGAAGATTTGAGCCAGACGTTCCATAAACCAGTTTAACCTAAATCAGTTAAGTCTAATAACTGCATCCATCCAGGTTTATCTTAAACCAGGCCAGTTTGAAAGCAGTTAATATGCACTGAACTTCTGTTCTGTTACAGGTTTAAACCAGTTTCTAATTCCTTAAATTGTTTCATGTGTAACTTCCATCCCTAGTCAAAAAGTGAGAACAAGGAGACAGTCTCTATAGTCTTAACGCCCCTCCTGAACGTGGGCATCACTGCAGGTGGAGTTCCCTGATTCCAGTGCAGAGGACCCAGGCTCCCTCTAGATCAGTGGTTCTCAACCTTTTTTGTACCAGGACCCACTTGTTAATAGAGATGCACCAATATATCAGTTGCGTATCAGGTTAGCACCGATAACGGGAAAATAAAATTATTTTGGCTTTTTTTGGCTGATAAAGGTCACCGATAAATGTTGCATGTGTGCACGCAGCTGCAGCATGCACACAGCCAGGAATGCAGTCTGGCAGCTTGGAGAGCAGCATCCAGCTGGTAAGTCTATGAGGGAGGGATGGGGTGTGAGGAGGCACATATCAAGACCTCCAGGGTGAGGGAGGAAGTGGGGCAGAGGCAGGCGCTGCCCAGACAGGTTGGTGAATGTAACTCAAGGGCAGGGTGCAGGGCAGAGCTATGGGCAGCATATGCAGGGGTGTAGGGGGTGAGGAGAGGGAGCAGCTCCATGCTGCTGCAGGCACCCCCAGGGATGCCCCCAGGGTACCATCGTGCACAAAGCTGGGGGGGAATGGCATGCTCATGTGCCCCCCAGATTTGTGCAGGGGGTGACAGTGGGCTGCTTGCTGTGGGCTTGGTGTCAGGGGTTGCACCATCCTTTTCCTGGTGGGGGTTGACTGCACTCAGGGCGGGTGAGGGCAGGTCAGGCTCAGCTGCGCCAGGTGGGCAGCATCACTGGGAGGGTTGGCTACGGGAAATTTTGGGGTGGCAATAGTCTCCCAAGCCTCCCCCTAGTACTACTGCCACCCACCCTACACAGCTAAGGCCCACCCTGCCTCGAGTGTAGCCCCAGCCCCGCTGCTGGAAAGAGTCTGCAATAGCCCTTGGCCCCAATTCTGCAGCAGGCAGCGTGCCCTCACCCTGCATACAAATCCAGGGGAACGCATGCCTCCCATGCCGCACCCAAAGTGTTCACGCAGCAGCAGGGAGCCACCCTCCTACTCCCCCACACCCCCTGGATGAGCTGCCTATGACTCTGCCCCATGCCCCGACCCAGGGTTGCGTTTACCGCCCTGGCTGAGCAACGCCTGCTCCACTTATTCCCTCACCATGGGGGCCTTGATCTGTTCCTCCCCCATGCCCCTTCCTCCCCCACAGAGTTACCAGCAGGAGTCTTTTCTCCAAATGGCCGGGCTGCATTCCTGTAAATCTGTTATTGGGTTGGTATTGGCCAGTATGGCTATCAGGATCGGCCAAGAAAATCTTCATCGGTTCACTCTAATTTGTAAACATCCATGGCCAGTCCCAACCCAGTGCCCCTTACATCCAACCTGCTGCCCCTGCCCCTAGTGTGGGGCAGGGGGGGCCCAAGCAGCCCCTTGTAGGCTGGAACTCTGCCAACCTGCAAGGGAAAAGCCAGTTTCCCATGGTTTTTCTCCTTTAAAGGAGAAAACATTTTTAAAGTTTGTCACCCTTTCATATATTCTTGCATCCAACTTTTGGGTGTGACCCACAGGCTGAGGAACACTGCTCCAGACCAGTGATTCTCAACCAGGGTGATTCGAGATCCTTTGAAGGGTGCTGCAGGAAGTTTGAGGAGGTAAGTGATGCGTTAGGCCATTCCCCTAGGACAGGGGTTGTCAGGATACTTGGAAAGGCCCTCGGGGATACGGGCGGGTGGGGATGGAGTGCTGCTACCCACCACCCCATGCCACCACCTCCCAGAAGCAGGGACAGGGCAAGGATAGCAGCACCCCTCTGCGAGCCACACGGGTGCCGCCTGGCCAACGGGACGTGGGGGAGGAAGGCGGAAATTCCACATGTGGTGGTGGTGGCTACCACCCACCGCCCCACGCTGCTGCCACTCTGCATCCCACTGCTGGGGGTACACTTACTAAAAAAAGGTTGAAAACCCCTGCCCTAGGAGGTAAGCACTGTAATAAATAAATGAGTTTAGTGCTAAAAAGCATGCACAATTCAGAAAAGAGGAAAATGTGTAGGGA